CTCTCTCCAAAACCGTTTCCATGTATTTATTCGATTATCAATTATTTATTTCGTAAAATAAACTTTTTATGTGAAATAACTATTGATTTTATTTCTAGTTAAAAGTTTTTTTAACAAAAATAAAATCGGAATTCTAATTAACTAAGCTTGCGTAATAATACAGCTAAATTTAATTAGGAGATAATGTTGATTTATTATTTGATTTTAAATATAAGTTATATACAGTATATAAAGTATATAAAGTTAATTAACATGTAATAATTGTGTCAGAATATAAATCCGCCCCAACCCTATGGGATTTAACATTGGATTACAGAGTAAATCTATACTTTAACATGGGAAAGCTTTCATAGATTTAACATAAGGACGCTTTAACATGGGCAGGAACCGGCACAATTCAAAATTAATTAGACGTTCAATGTTGTCTGACATTGATAATTTCTCTCTCATTAATCATGATAAATGTTACGCTTTTTTAATTATTGACTGCCCTTTGTAAATCATAGGTAACATGCATGTACAGTATATTAATATAGGAAAACCCCATTAATATTAGTAGTATATCATATATGAATCACCAAGTATTAAAGTATTTAATAGCATAAATTATAATGGAAAAAATGTTCCTAGGAACATTCAGTGCCGGTTGAAGAACATGGGTTTTTATATGATTGCAACTTAGGTCTATGACGTAGGGTTAATATGGGTAATGCTAAGTCTGTGAAAAGTCTGTGGGACTTATATTAAATTTGTAGACTCATACATATGATTGGGTTAACGTATACGATAGCATTGCTTTGTGTGTATTGAAATTATCTCACTAAATTTTAAAAATGTTTTATTACAATTTATAAAGATAATTTTGGGAAATTTTTGTTTTATTTAGTAAAGACAGACTTAAAATAGAATTGTTCGTTTAAAAACAAACTTGGTGTAACAGCTTTGGTTAGTTTATAACATCAAGTTTATATTGCAGCTAAATAGAGCAATACCTAAAACAGAACTTTTATCTCAATCCATTAACATGTAATAATGTTTTCCCGTGAAATACCCGACAGGACTGACGGCTAAAACAATCATTGATTAACTATTTGTTTTAATCGACAAAACCTATATTCAATAGACTATTACATAATAAACACATATTGTGCACATTATTCATAATATACAGCGCTGTAACAAATAAGGACTTTATTGTTATACGCTTTAAACAAATAGAGATTATTTGTATTCGTTATCGACAATAGATATTGATATTTAAGCTAAAAAATGTCTGTTATATTGATTTTGTGTTTAAATAAATAATAAACTGTTAATGAAATATTCAAATGCATAAATGTTAATTGTAATATTAGGTTTCATACAATAATGGATACACGAGAATATTCAGAATAGTTAATAACAAGAATACATAACTAATGTATATTTTATTCAATGTATCAAATATAATTTAAATGTACCTAAATATCAATCATTGTAGTAATAATTAATTTAAATTTTATGTTAATTGTGTAACCAATCATAATAAATGAGAAAGAAAGAAAGAGAGAGAGAGAGAGAGAGAGATCTAACAATAACCTAATATAATATGAAAGACACTAAATCAATAACTTTGGATACATATCATGCGTTCAAAGAAAGAATTTTAGTTTTCAATGCTTGAGATATATATAGAGAATTTACTTAACGTTTGAATTTCACATAATATATAACGTAAATGCTATGAAAAGCTTTAACTGACGACAAGATTTTAATACCTAATATATAAAACCGATTGATAAGTTTTGCCATTTAATGTGCTTTTCAATTGAGTATTGATAATAAATTCTCTCTCTCTCTCTCTCTCTCTCTCTCTCTCTCTCTCATGTAGTCAATTATAAGTCAACATATTTTACGATATGATTAGATAATAGACATCAAGAATCCGCCCCTCATTGCATACATATCTCCCTTATTACCAGAATATACAGCAACAATTATATCATAAAATAATATTGAAAAATAGCAATAAATAATATTTGTCAAAAAATACAAACAATTTGCTTAAGTTCTAGTTATAAAAATAACAATTCAGTAGTAATTTACCACTAGTAAATCATTGGTAAAACTTTGTATGTTTTATTCTCAAACCCGGATCTCTCTCTCTCTCTCTCTCTCTCTCTCTCTCATTGTTTATTAAGTAATTAATGTTTTAATCACTTATAGACACTCATTAGGAAATATATATAAATATCATTAAATCCTATCATTAAATGTCAAGAATGCCAAACATTTCCAACACATATAATCATGACTTTTAACATTATTATAAAATGATCAAGTGGCATTCATTGGGGGCACAATTCTATATTGTAAATAATGGGCATATTTTAAACCCCATGTATATCAATCTATACCTCCTTGTAACAAATTAGTCATTTTTATAACAATCAAGATTTTTCTATTAATTAAATTTGTACCTAATAATGAACATGTTTAACCAATATTCCGCACATATACAGTAGTACCCTTTTATTTGAATAAGCTAATCTACCAAGTTTGATTGCTCACATGATGTGTATTATGATCATTTATAAACTACATTTATAATTATTAATAATTCAATTCTACAATACATTATTGAACATAATTAATTATGAATTTAGTTAAAAGTTCTTGTATTTAGTTTTTAAAAATAAAGTTCTTATTTCTTTATAAGCAACTTTATAATAAATAGAATCATTAAAATTTTAAAACAACTAATATAATTAAGATCTCTCTCTCTCTCTCTCTCTCTCTCTCTCT